AACTAAGAGAATGGTATTTGTAGTATATATTATTTTAAACATGGTCTTTTGCTGTATTTGAGAGCAGACAGCAGACGGCTGTACATAATTGCCCATGTTTCTGATCACATACACACATACGTTAAGTGCACAGTGTTTTTTGCAAACGTTTCTTCTGTTCATGAGTAGAATTTAAGAATCTTAACCAGGTTACTTCTACAAAAGGTTTAGCTATTTGGAAGATAGTAAAAAAATAAAAGTTTTTTTTTTTTGCAAAACTCAAGGAAAGAATGTATTCATGAGAGCAGAATATTGGCTGATCTATTTAGGTATCAAAACAATCTATTTATGAACAGGATTAATCATGTAAATACTAAGTAACTGTTCCTACTGTTGACACCAACACTGGAGTTTCGTTAATCTCAAGAACTTTTATAAATTCTTCCACCTCAAATGTAGAAAGGAAAAATGCATAGTTAGACTACAAGTGGTTGCTTCTCCCAAATCATTGATTCATCCTATTTGACATCCTGTTTAAAGTTTCCTCTTTCTCATCAAACTTGAATTTTGAAGACACTATACTCAATAACAGCCCAAACCAGCCAGCGGACTGACAGCATAAGGATAAAGGAACAACTTGGCAGGATTATCTTTAGCAAACTTTTCTTTCATCTTTTCCCTTTTCTGTTCTACATCCTGCTTCACTTACGTTGATGGGCTTTCTGGACTCAACACTACATTTTATCAACAAGTGCCATTTTTTTGAACACAACCCTGAGTAAAATGTGCTTTTATTAGTTAAGTATATTTTAGACAGTTGCATCCATTCTTCCTTCATGAAATGACAAAACAGCATAAGAAAACTATTCCAAGACATGAGCAAGAAAGAAAACATGACCACTTTGTCCTGTGGCACTCTTCATCTGTTACAGAGAGACAGAGCATCCCAGATCTGAGCTTCATTGCAACACACCACTCTGGTTCCTGTGTTACCAGCACTGCAAGATCTTAATAATACTCTCATCTTACTGTTTAGCTTTAAACACCAATTTCCAGAAGATCTGAAAGCAGGAATCTCTATGACAGGTCTTCTCAAAAGTATACATATTCAACACAGGAACCTTATTTACTGGAATAGCATATCACAGCAGAGCCTGCCTGTAGTCTGGTTTCCATCTCTTGCAAAGCCCATCTCTGAGTGCAAAGAAAAACGTCTAACCTCAGATACACGCACAGATGTGGAGCTCTACAGCTTGGCAGACCTCTGCATCTAACTCTTGCTGATCAAAACTTGTGAATTTGCACATAGTTATACACACAGTTAAGGCTAGACACATTTTCACATGGACTCAGGGGCTTTTTCACCCCCCCCTCCAAAGGTGCCTACAAGTGTTTCTTTATTCCTCCTATAATGTTTGAAGCAGCATACAAGTGCCAGAAAATCCTCTGGAAGAAGACTGCATTGTCCTACCCAGTAGACTGAAAAGTCCCTGGACATCTGTGATTCCTAGTCCATAAAAACAGTTACTGCTGAGAAAATACATCAACGAGGCCTGCAAGAAAAAATTCACTGGATGATATAAATAATTATTAATAGCGGCAACAGACATTAGCTCATAAAATAATCCTATACCTGGTAAGAACTTTTTTCCCCCTCTCAATAAAGGTAAAAATAGCATTTTTATTTATATAGTTTAATTTTTTTTTATTTTTCTAAAGGTTTGCTTCCAACCACAATTGATAACAGAATAAAAATATTTGTAAGTTTACATAGTCTTGGCATTATGTATTGTCTCTGCGTCTCTGAAGACCCTCAGGCACATCAGGAACTGGAAGAAAAGCTCTAGATTTTGCATATCAACTCAAGGAAAGAAAACTGTCTTTTCACAGTGACATGAATCAGGCAACACTTCCATCCACTCCAGCAAACCAGAAAAACTATGGGTTTTTTTTTGTTTAAGACAAATAATCATCATTTGACCAGCAATAAATTTTTAGCTGGACGAGATGCTTTTGGTATCCATTACTCCCTGCCTTCCTAAGCCGACATTTTAAAGTTTTTTTAATTTGTGAAGTAAATTCCCTAAGGGCTATCCTGCACATTAACAGACAGATTTTATTAATTGAGAACAACAAATCACTTGCAGAAAATAATCATAACGTAGGAAAGGCCTAGGCAGAGCTGTACTCTGAAAACCTCTTTGTAATTGTAGCCTCTTTAGACAGGCATAATCAATTAGAAGTGGTCTGATTTTAACCAGTTGCAGGCTCATTACATTGCATTCCCATTTCTGTTGATGAAAATCAGTTTCAGCCTGTGGCCTGGAACTCATATACAGCACTTCCTGGGGCCTCTTAGATAAACACATCAAGAAACAGTTTTATTTGGATTTGTCCTTCACCCTTTATTCATTGAAACAATTTTACAAATCAAGATTAGAACAGAGAAAAATTGGCTCATAACCAGAGATACACATATATGAGTAAAATATTTAATCTCAGAAAAGTATAAAGCTTCAGTTAATAATCATTCCTTAAAAACATTTAAATGGAAGACTCAAAACATTCATTTTCAACTGGTGAGTTTAGTCTTTCTCTTACTGTGTCATGGGACACTCAGTTTCTATTTAATATAAACATATTACTCCTTCCTTTCAGAAGAGCTTCTGCCTGTGATACATAAAATTGTCCCTAATGTATCTTGAAGTTTTCAAAACAGTATTTCTAGTCTAAGCTTTTACTCTTTGTAGATACTGCCTGCAATATGTAATTCTAAACCTATGCAGGAATGAAACTTTTAAGCAAGACAATACTAAATGAACTATCCTCGAGCAGACAGAATCTGCAAAAATAATTGCTTCCCTTCTGCAGAAATTGTACCTTACAGCACCCAGGTTTGGTACAGTCCACATGAGCTTTGAAAAATAAATTAATTCACTACAGTCAGTAAATCCAGCCACAGCATGGTGCAGTCCCTCAGGCTCAAAGGGCTATTCACAAGTCAGGGGCATTAAAATAAAAGAGGGGATTTTCCTAGTGTGAAGAGGTCTATAAAAGCCTTTGCAAATGTGCAGCAATTGTTTAAAAACCAAAACAGACAAAAAACCAAAGATAACTGAAATAGGAAAGAGACTGATAAAGGAAATGCAATGCTTACTAAGGAAGCAAAATGAGGAGCCCTTGCCTGGAATACTGGCTGTTCCTTCGTAAAAGAAAATACACAAATAGAGCTGAAGGGTGAGTGATAAGAATAACAGAAGAGGAAAAAACCTTCATATGAAGAGAATACAGAAAGACCAGAATGATTCATACTACAAAGGAGAATAATGGAGCTAGAGGATCATGATTTTAAAAAGTGTAAAAATTAATATTCCAAAGAGGACCTTTCTTTTAAAAAGGATTCAAAGTAAAAGGCCAATGAGCCCAAATATGGTTGAAGGAGGCTCTGGGGGCTGTTTTTGCTTATTTTGCAAGTGTGATACACAGCTAGACTTTTTAATGTACTGCAAAGGATAATCACTAAGGCCAATGGCATATGAGGACTTAAGAAACTTTATTTCATAGGTATAACAAAAATAAATAAATATACATTATAATAACTATTTAACCCAAAAATACATTAAAGACTCAAGAAAAAATTTATTCCTAGAGATATGTTATAGTGAAAATGCTTTATATAAGGTGGTGCATTCCTCCCTATAAAGCATGTGGCCCTTACCTAGTCACCAACAGCGGTCAATACCCAACAGAATGAGGCCTACAGGGCAACATTACCTGGAAATTTCCTTTACTGAACAGCATACCTTGACACCTGAGGTACATGAGAGAGGAATGACTCTTCAGAGGACATGAAAGATCAGACTCATCTCCTGGAGTGCCTGATAACCCCAACCATCATCTCCTGGTCTAGTGGAAGTCACCTGTCACATACTCTCTTATGTCTGTACTCCTGTTCTAAGGTCTAGATTCTCCATCCTCCTGTCTGAAGAAGTTAATTTCAGACACGTTCATCATCAACCTGCTTTCCTAACAACTATCACTATCTGATCTGTACATTCACCAGAAATCACACCAATAGTGATTAAAGGATTAGAATGGAACTACTTCTACCAAAGGTCTAGGCAAAAAAAGCAAACGGAATTGGTTTTAAAATTAAGAACAGCGCCCACAACATGACTATCTGAAATAAAGAACGGTTCCAAAGACTTAAATGCAGTGTTAAAATCAGACATTAAGAATTTTAATGAAATGACAGAACTGTTCTTTAATTGCTTTCCTGGACTGACAAGGTAATTTATTACTCACTTGTTCCTAAGAAATGAACAAAACAGGTCCATAAGGAAGCTAGTTACAGCTGACTGAAAATGGCCTACACGCTGCCGCACTTGAAAGGGTATCCCTTCCTTCATACCTTCGTTTTTCTTATTGTTTAGAGCTTGTTTTGTATTGTTGCAAACTATACTCTGGAACACTATAACCACTGATATTTCTGACTGGTTCTTCAAAAAATTCACAGTGATAAAGAATCAAAATAAAAAAAAGAAACTGAAAGAAACTCATAGTTGTTTCTTATAAAACTTCTGAACACAAAAAAAACCACTTTCTCTGAAACACTTTCAAGTGTCTCATGAAGGAACATCTCTGTGGTTTTCTGGAGAGGTTAAAGTAGCAATATTCCAGGGTCTGGAATATTTTGTTTGTATTTACAACCTTCAATCAGAAAAACATTTTGGAACATGGAGAGGATCTTTTTTGTTGTTAGCCATTCTAGGACTAGGAATACAGCAAGATCATCTCTTCAAGCTTTGACATGGAGCCATACCTCATTCTTCTCATCAACAAAACCTAGGACTAGCTCTTCAGAAGGCAGAATAGAGGGCACTTTTACACGAAGCAGGTAAAGGACTCTAGCATTCAGTAGATACCTGAGTGCAAATAATATACTATTGTTTCTCCAGATTCAACAGAGCTCAGAAATAGATAGATATTCCAACCAATTTATAAAACCACATTTGACTTACCTTGCTTTTTACACTTCCCCAGGTGAGTACTCAGCATCACAAGGACATCAAGATAGGCGGCCCTGGTCACCAGACAAGGATTTAGCCTAAAAAAAACCCAAAAAACACAAATTTCTAAAGATTAAATCCTTATAACACTCTGCTCAGAAACAGTAGTGAAACACACGAGCTTGGTGTGTCTATTTTAATTAATGAAGATCAACTACTGGTCAAATTAGACTGCATATATAAAATAATTATGCCAAGTTATCTAAGCTTCACTTCCTGGTCCATTCCAAATGAGAGTCTCCCTTGCAAACTGGGTGTTGCCAGTTTGCAACACCCTTCCTCCATCCATTCCACCAAATCACAGCTTATACATTTAATTATTATTGGATGAATCAGCTTGCCCTGGCAATTAGTGTGCCTTTGTTTTGTTTATAGATAATGTGTCTAACTAAATGCATTAACGAAGTCTTCAGGTCTTACTGTTACAGCTCATAAAAGAGAAACTTCCCTTGAAAGGTACCTGCTACACCTTTTTAACAGCCATAGTTCTCTCACTGTTCTGATGAAGATCCTGCATGTTTTTAAAATTACGTATTTCTTTTCCCAGACAAGAAAACTTGGGATTCTGTGTGTGTAATGCAATTGGTAATTAGCTACTTTCTTTTCTACCTCTTCAATTTGAAAGTGATAGACATTTACTTTCTCTTCAATTAGAAAATTAAAATTAGGTTAACAACTTCATTTTTCTTTGCATGGCTATCACTCTATGTTTCAGCCAAGAAATTTTTTTTTAAAATATAACTTAGAATGTGAACAAACAGGAAATGTAGTTCAAAACACAGAAATTATTTTAATGAGACCAATGGGACTTGTACTAAAACAAAACCTCTCAGAATCAAGCAGCACAAGCTTAAAGTATGACTAATTCTGTTCAGTATTTCATTTTTATTTTATCTGGCACTGTCTTTGTATGCTTATCTTGATGTCTGAAACTCTTTCAAAAAATTGTTAATTAAAAATGTTCCAACAAACATTCTCAACCCTAGCATCTTTAAAATTCAAGGAAAAAAGCTTTTTCAAATAAGATATGTGATCATGACATAAAAACGCAGGGTTTGAAGTTCTTACGTAGTTTCGCAGCTGTATTTGCCTATGGAGAGCTAGCCTATGAACCTGTTAAAAAAGAGAACTTTAACCAGAAACATTGCTCTCACCTTCAGTAATAAATTCTGCAATAAGCCCAAAGGACTTATGTTTTCTTTTATGGCCTACAATATTAGGCATCCATGTAACACAGAGCAGACTACATACTACCAGGATCTCTCCTTTAAAGAGTTTTATTCTCCTTTTGGACACTTTCTTAGTAGGGAATTAGTTTAGGTTCATAACTCCCAAAACTTCTCCATGCTTGCTTCCTACCACTTTCCTTAGCACAAGAGCTAAAAGCTTGCCTGCTGAGAAGATGCACATCAGTTAGAACTGATGCCATAAGAAGCCAAAGCAATTTTAATATGACGTATTTCGGAAGAACTGTATTAGGCAGACCTTATTTCTATCCATCTTTGCTAAAAAAAAAATCTCTTCTGTATCTTGGGCATCCAGCTGTTGCTGAAGTTGTTCTTCACAAACCTTTGTGAAAACACCACCAAGAAATACAGAGTTAGGAGCTCAACCCATGAGAAAACAGACTGACCGATCAGTCAAAGGCTTAGAAGAAAAAAAAAACCACAAGAGGCCTCTCACAAATACTCATAAAATGGATTAAAGCAGCCACAACAGACTTAAGATGAAGAACATAATGCCTACTGCAGTACAGCTCCCTTGAAAAGTTGAAGATTTGCTTATTATTCCATCTTTCCAGTGGAAAGAAAATTTCCAACATACAGACTGTGCCTTGGGAAAAACATGACTGATGCAACTGTTACTGAAGAAGAGGCAACAGCAACACTGACGTGGTTTTTTATTCTGGTCCAGCTTTTAAGCACTTACCACTTCATTCTGAGTATGTACATGCACATGTTTTGATTTTGAAATGAGACTTTGCTATCATAAAACATGCCAAACGTTTGTTCCTGGCTGGTTCTGTTGCTCTGGTGATGCTAGTGAATTCTCATCCATATGTGCCAGACAGACACAACAGGAAATTCAGTTTTCCAAAAACAAGAAATTTCAGTGTTGTTCAGACTGTAGCAGAAAGCTCAGTCTTGAAGACAATCAAACTGTGATTTACATAACAGACCTGACAGCCAAAAATCACATGCTGAACATTTCAAATGATGGACTGCGCAGTATTTAAGATGACCTGTTCATGCAGAACTTCAACAATGAGAGTGGGAAGAGTACAAAATGTTTCTTTTTTAACACAGATATCCAAATAAAGTGGTGTTCTCATAAACAAGATTTGAGGAAATCTGTCTCCGAACAAGCAAGTCACAGCAGTAGCAAAGGTGGGAGCTCCAGATATCTGGAACAGCATTCATTTTTTTTTGTTCAAAACCCAAAAATTATTTTATCTCCCTTCCAACAAGGATATTAATGGAAACAAATAGATCATATGCTCACTCCAGATGATAAACTGTATGTGACTCTGAAGGGGGGTAGAGCTAGAGATGTTTAGAATTCTCATATCTAAGTGTATATCCACACAGCAATGAAAAACAGGTATCAAAACAATATTCATACTATTATACACATATACTAATAATAGGCTAGTGATGTCAGGGCAGAGATCCATACCTGATTAAAGTAATGCTTTATCTACGTTAGCCAATTGGTTAGTGTAACAGCAGCACATTTGGAATTCAAAGAGCTGGCACCAAAGACTCAGTGGACACCCTACACACTGCACCAGATGCATTAAACCATAATTTTCAGAAGTTAAACTTGTGGCTTTTGCTTCTGCTTGGATACAGAGTTTATAGCCAGCCTACTCCAGGAATCTCACTGCATTAAGAAGCTTACCCCTCAGTTTCTAGCACTCCTTCATGATGCTTTAACTTCAAGCTTGACTGTCCAGGTGGAAATGAAAATCAGGTCACAGGCAACTGCTAAGTTAAATTTCACTAACAACCAATACTGCAGAATATTTCGACACATCTGATTGAAGAGAGGTCAAAGGCTGTTTGCTCCAAGTAACATGTAAAAGGCAAGTACTGTCACAGACTTGACCTGCCAGGTACAGGGAAAGAAGACTCCTGCAACAGGCAGGGACAGAAAGGATTACTACTTAGCAAGCACAAGGCAAAGAAGAAATATGTTTCTAATTTAATCAAGGAGAATGAAATTATGACAGGAGGAGCTGCTGTGTCCCTACTAGATCATCCAATGAGAAAAGGCTAAGAGAAAAGAGAATTAGGATCGTTCAGCCTGGAAAAGAGAAGACTTCAGGGTGACCTAACTGCAGCCTTCCAGTACCTGAAGGGAACCTACAAGAAAGATGGAGAGAGATGTCTTACAAGGCCATGTAGTGATAGGACAAGGGGCAATGGCTTCAAACTGAGAGCAGTTTAGATTGATATTCAGAAGAAACTCTTTACTGTGAGGGTGGTGAGGCACTGGAACGGGCTGCTTAGAGAAGTTGTGGATGCCCCACCCCTGGAAGTGTTCAAGGCCAGGTTGGATAGGGCTTTGAGCAACATGGTCTAATGGAATGTGTCCCTGTTCATGGCAGTGGAGTTGGGACTAGGTGATCTTTAAGGTCCCTTCCAATCCAGGTGATTCTATTGTCCTAGTTAGAACCAGTTGATGAACTGGGACCAGTTCATCACTGTGTGGGTGTAATCCAAACTGTGTATTCTACACCCTCCATGCCATTTCCCAGAAACTGTTAACAACAGACCATTTGCAGCAGCTGCCCAGAGCACACCTGACCCCTCAGGCTATAAGCTGGGTGTTAAGAGGCTTGTGAGATAGGAGGATGCTCCTGTCCTCATACCCACGACTTACAATCACTCATTGTGGAACTCCCCGCCCTGGGGGAGATACTGGGCACTCCTGCCTGAACCTGAGTGTAATCTTGGGGTCTTGGGACTTCTGCTACCATTCATTGGATCCAGAGGAGGACCAGAACCTTGACCGGACTGCAACCACTACTTTAAACCAGACTGTGATCACCACCCTTGACCAGACTGCGACCAGCACTCTCACCAACAGGTTTTCCCTCTCCTTTTAGTCTGGACTCAGGGGAACCATGTGGGGCTCAGCCCAGAGACCAACAAACACCACTCTGTTTGTGCCCCAGGATGCTGGGTCATATATCTGGATTTTGTGGGTTAAACCAAATGTTTGTCCATATAATTGTATTTATGGTATTATTTTTATTAAATTGTAACTCTGACTTACAATCTCTTTGGAGCTGGGTTAATTTCTCCTGCCGGTTTACCTTTAAACCAGCACATCTATAATCACAGAACTCCACAGAACACATAAGGTGATTGAAACCCAAGTCAAAAAAGTTAAAGGGACTGAAGGTTTCAAGTGGCTTACACATATATTTTTGTAACTGCCCAGAGCTCCACCCCAACAGTATCTTCAGTGTGGGGGAAATAAGGGTCTTTTTAAATTTTATTTTATTATTTTAGGTAAGCATGGCTGAACAGTAGAAAATATGAAAACGCAGGAGCCAGTTTCCATATTATTGACACTTCATAGCAGATTTCTGGATTAGATCCTAAAATAAAAGTCTTCCAAACCTGGCCAATTTCTTATCATTAATGCTGAACAAGTCATTGGGAATAGGATAGTCAGACCTCTTTGTAACTGCATTTTCAGTTCTGGCATATTAATATAAAATTAGAGAAGAGTTCAAGTCACTTGCAGGAAGAAACCTTGTGTTAGACATTAAGAGTCTAGGGATTCTTTTCAAAGAAAAAGGTTAATGGAACCAAGCAGTCTGTTAAAATCCACAGGCTCCTGTTCAAATGCCTATGAAGAGGCACTTACAGAATATAATATGACCAGAGTAACAATAAGCTATTTGTTTTCAACAAGGAACTGCCTGGTAGGTGAATCAGGAAGCATACCCTGCAGGAGATATTCCCTCTCTGTAGATGTAAATCAGACCAGGCAGGTTCAGAAGCTCCATGTGCAATACTGGGGG